TAGTGTGCCAGGCCTAAGCTGGGTGCTCTGCATCCCTCGCTCTAATGCTCCCACCTATGCAGGGCTAGTATTAACCCCATTTTATAGAGGGGCAACTGAGGCTCAGAGGGCATTTGAAGCCGGATCTGACTCCCATGTGGGCGCTCTTTTCCTCAGCACCACCCTGCCCAGCCCACCTCCAGCTTGGCCCTCTGACCACGTGACCTTGACAGAGGAAACCCAGGTGTGGGAAGCTCTGGCCCACGCCTTTGGGGCCGGGTTGCCTTGAGGGGACATGTCCTCAGGCCTTTTCCTTACAGCACCAGGAGCCCCTGAGGGCTGGGGTGGCCACCTTCTCTGTCAAAGAGGATCTGCCCAGATCCCCCCTAACAGGCTACAGCCCTGCTGTCCACACCCCCTCGGAGCCCTTAGTCACAGCAACATCAGGGACAAGCCACACATTCCTGCTCAGCCAGGGAAATGACCTTTGCAGGTTTCCATGGTCACCGTTCTTGCAGGTAGTCTCTGGATTCCTGTTCTTCCACACTCTGGGAAGGGATCACCTTTGCCATGGTGGCTGGGCGTGGGGGCAGGATGCTGGGTGGACGGGATGGAAAAGATTAGAGGTGGGAGGGCACTGGGTGAATTCAGGACCAGCTCCAGCCCCCAGGAGGAGCGAGCGGAAGCCTCTGGGGTCTGGGTCCAGCTGATGGCGGGGGAGGGGAAGGAAGGGTGGAGGAGGTATATAGACAGCTCCTGGGGCTTGATCCTGCCCTACATGACATCCAGCCTGGCATAGCGGCAGGGAGTCTGGCCGAGGCCGACTTCAGACAACAGGGCAGCCCTCTGGCACAGTGGGATTTGACTTTTTTTTAAAGCAGTACACCTGAGGGCGCCTGGGTGGCTCAGTTGGTTAAGCGACTGCCTTCGGCTCAGGTCATGATCCTGGAGTCCCGGGATCGAGTCCCACATCGGGCTCCCTGCTCGGCAGGGAGTCTGCTTCTCCCTCTGACCCTCTTCCCTCTCGTGCTCTCTATCTCGCATTCTCTCTCTCTCAAATAAATAAATAAAATCTTAAAAAAAAAATAAAGCAGTACACCTGAAACTAATGTAACACTGCGCATCAACTATACTTCTTCTTGCCTGTAAAATATGGCTAAGTCCCCTCCCCTCCCCTCCCCTCCCCTTTCCCCTCCCCTCCCCCTCCCCCCCTTTCCCTCTCCCCTCCCTTCTCCTCCCCACCTCTCCCCTCCTCTCCCCAGAGTCAGTTGTAAATTGAAGGGTCAGCTCCACTGAGCGGTGGTTACTGAGAGGTTAGGAAAGAAGGAGAGGCCTGAGATCTGAGGGCTAAAGAAAAAATCATGCCCGTGCTGAACAGACTCTCAGACACGTAGAAGAGGCCAGCATTACCCCGATGACCCGAGCGGACACAGACGGATCGAGGACACAGCACAAACATCCCTCATGGATATAGAGGCAAAAATCCTTAACAAAATCTTTATCCAGTCCAATCTAGCAATATTTAGAAAGGATACTGCGTCTTGACCCCTGGGGTTTATCCCAGGTATGCCGGATTGGTTTACCATCCAGAAACCAGCTCTCAGAATTCACCGTAAATAAAGAGAGCAGTTGTTGGCTCTGGTCACGGAAGGGCATTTACTGTACCCATGTGAGCACATGCACACACTGTCTCTGGTTCCATCACTGGGGCTCTGGGAGCTGTCCCCCAGCCACCCCTGCCCACCCACATCCCCCCTAGGCGCTCTTCACGAACAGCGGGGTGAGGGCAGGTTCCTGAGGAATCGCAGCCTCCCCCCCACCAACCCCTCTCCCCCTGCTCTGCTCTTGCGGGCTCCCTCGGAGGAATCCATCCATGAGGCCTGGGTGGCATCCTTGAGCACAGACCTGCCAGGCTCCCACATGGAGGGCACCCCTGAGTCACACAGGACCTCCCGGGGACCACTGTCACCCCTATCTGACTGAGCAGTACATGGGGGCTCCGAGAGGGGATGTCACCCCTGCCCGGAAGTGCTGACATTGGCCTGAGCCTGGGTCTCTAGCTCCCAGCGTGACCGACAGCCCACAGGATGCGCCTCCCAGACAAAACTTCCCAGGGACCTTTCCTCTTAACCATTTATTAGGCACTTGGGATCCCACCAGCCCCCTCTAACCCTTAGGGGGGCTGCTGAGAGCCCTCCGTTCTTCAGAAACCCCTCCTCATCCTACAGACTCCAGAGACCACCCCCCACCCCCCGTAGATGGGCCCCAGAGGGCAGCCGCCCGTCCCCAGCCCATAGCTGGAGGAGGATCCACTGTGGATGACAGATTTCCAGGGTGGAGGTGAGTTGGGGAAGGAAGACACCCTCACCTCTTCTGCTCCGCATCTCAGAAACTCATCACCCGAGAGCATCTGGGGAAACATGCAGAATGTATTTTAAAAGACTCCAGAAGCAGCCAATGCTCCAGATTGGAAGTCGGGGCTTTTCGTCGTGGTGGCCTGGCCAGTTTGGTGCCCCAGAGCCCCTTTAGGGGAAGGACAAGGTGCAGATGTCCTGCACCCCCAGCAGGGCAGGGAAACCTGGGGGCTCAAGAGAGCAGCCCCGGGGTCTTGGGAGAGTGGGCGGGTGGGGGTGGGGGTCCTGTCCGCAGGGGCCATGCCCCGGCCTGGCTGTGGGGGGTGCCACAACCATTGAGGATGTGGTGAGGATTTGGGTCCCCTGCAGCAGGAGGGGCGGGTGGTCAGCCCCGAGGGCTAGGCCGGTGGAACATTCTGGGTCCGGAGACCCAACCCCCCTCCATCATTGGCAGCTGGGCCCCTCTGCCGACGGCAACGTGCCCTATCCTTGCCTGTCCTCATGGCCTGGCTGAGAGACAAAGGTGGGTTCCTCCCCCAAAGGGTCAGAGGTGTTATGCGTCGAATTGTGGCCTCCCCCAAAAGATATGTTGAAGTCCTAAATCCCAGTACCTATGACCGTGACCTTATTTGGAAATAGGGTCTCTGCAGATGTGATGAAGATGTTGATTAAAACGAAGTCACACTGGAGGAGGTGGGCCCTGATCTCCCGTGACCGCTGTCCTCAGAGCAGAGGAGACACGGATGCGGGGAGAAGCTCCTGCCGGGGCTGAGCAGGGACGGAAAGCTGTGGGGCTGTGGCCAGCATACCCCCAGGACCCCGGGCACCAGCAGAAGCCGGACGGGCAAGGCAGGGCTCTCCTCAGAGTCGCCGAGGCAGGATGGCCTCGCGGACCCCTTGATTTTGAGCCTCTCCCTCCAGATCTGTGAGACAGTAAGTCTCGCGGGGGCTTTAGGCCGCTGGCTTGTGGCACTTCTCTACAATAGCCCTGGACGCTGAGCCAAGTGGCGGGGACGTGGGCGGTGGGCTGCAACATACTGCCCCCTGCAACCTTGGGCAAGTCACCTCCCCTCTCTGGGCCTCTTTTTCTCATCCGCACCATGGGCACGTCAGTGGCCCCACGTCAGAGGCCTGACATAAGGTGTCGAGCCCTCACACACTAAGCACTCGCTCCAGGAACCCCGAGCCTCGGCCCCAGCCTGACACGTCTCCCCCCTACCCTGCCCTCTGGCCGCAGCCGTGTGGGGCTCCCTCTCATCTGTGACAGGCACGGCCTCTTTGCTCCCTCCTCCCCCGCCTGGAACACTCTTCCCCTCCTTCCTGGCCGGCTGCCGGCCCGAGCTCCCCTGGCGCCCCTCGTCATGGCTCTCCTCGGGCTCGCCTGTGTTGGCCTGATGGCTTGTCCACTGGCTCGGGGGCAGGGAGCCAGGGAGACCTGAGGCTGGAGCGAGAGAGGGTCCGGGCCCCCAGGGGAGACCCCGACAGTGGCACCTTAGGGGCATCCCGAGCTGTTCATGACCCAGGCCCTGGACCCCCAGACAGTGACCTCAGGGAGAACGACCCACCAGCCTGGGAAAAAGTCTAGGAGCCCCTTGCCCCCTTGACCACTTGACACCTTGGCCCGTCTGGGGCTGAAGAAATCCCACCCTGGATGTCAACAGAGACTGTCCTGCCCGGAAACGTGCGTCACATGAGAGAGAGCACGCGGGAGAGGGTCCGCTGCATGTCATCTGTATTGTCACATGAAACGCACATCCATAACGGGTACTTGGAAATGACCTATCAGGTCACACGGAGTCCGGCCCCTGGGGGCCAAAGCGGCACCGATGCCCGTGGCCGGGGGCTCTCTGCAGGCGGCACGTGACACCGGGCCTCCCCGGGCGCTGGAAGAGGCCCACTCTTGCTCAGGCCCTCCGGCTCCCGGGCAGCATCTCCCAAAACGTGCTTGAAGAGACGGCGGATCTTTGGGGGTCTGCAGCTGTTCCTCGAGAAAAGGGGTTTATGGCCAAATAAGTCGAGGAAACACGGAGTTAAACCGGGTCTGACAGGAAGCGTTTCTACAGGACTTCTCAGAGCCTTTATGACAACAATGGCCCTTGTGAACGGCCAGCATGGGGGCAGAGTATGCAGCATTCCCCAAGGTTATTTGACCACAAAACCCTTTTTCTTCCAGAAGCGTCTTGCAGGCCGGCGTCCGGCAGGGCACCCTTCGGAAAGGGCTGCCCTAAGCTATCGACGACCGTTAATGGCAGTGGCACCTGGGTTGGGCGCTGGCTGGGGGTGTCTTGCCAGGCATCGCGCTGTGGCATGGGGGGCACGGCCAAGCACTCAGCAGTCACGATGACAAAGGGACAGGACAAGACTCGGCCCTGCTCCTGCCACCTTGGTTCTCGCCTCCCTTCTCCAGGGCAGAAGCAAAGCACAGCTGTCCCACGGGTCCCCGGCCTGCCTCGAGAGGACACTCAGTCTCAGCGCAGGAGCGGGGACACCGGGCACTACCAGCCACACCGGCCCTCGGGGCGGCCTGGCCGAGGTCGCCAGCCTCCAACCGAGGTGGGGGAGATGAGGCTGCGGGTTTGCCGCTGCCCCCCCCCCCGCCACCGCCGGCCCTGCTGCTCCTGTCCCCTCTCTCGGGCCACCCCGGGTCCTGAGCCATGGCCAGGTGGCTCACCAGGCAGAGATGAGCATCTGGCAGGTGTTGGAGGACATCCAGACCAGCTCCACCAGGCGGAACTGGAAGTAGCCGATGATGAAGCCCGAGATGACGTCCGTGATGTGGTGGCGGCCGATCATCACGCGCGACAGGCCCACGCAGAAGGCCCAGAGCACCAGCAGGACGCGCAGGGGCACTGCCAGCACCAGGTGGCTGAGGAAGAACTTGGACACCATGGCCGCGCGGCTGGCGTGCCCGGCAGGGAAGGCGTAGATGTCCATGGTGAGGTAGTCCAGGAGGCTGGGGCTCGTCTCGAACGGGCCGCGCCTCTTGATGAGCTTCTGGACGCTGGCCACCGTCATGATGTCCAGGAGCAGAGCTGTGGGCGAGAGAGAGAGAGAGAAAGAGAGAGAGGCCCGAGGGACGGTCAGTGTCCCCTCACAGCTCAGCACCCCCCACCCCATCTTGCTTTCTTCCTTCCAGCCACACCCACCCCGGGCATGTTTCCACCTCAGGGCCTTTGCCTGTGCTGTTCCCTCTGGCTGAACGCCCTTTTCCTGGGCTATCCACCGGCTCACGCCTTCCCGACCACCTGTTTACCACAGCCCTGGTACTCTCTACCCCTCCCGGACTTCTTCCTTACCGCGTTTCCCAGCCCTGACACATCACACACTTTCTGAGCATTTCTCTCGTCTCTCTTCCCTGATGCTACAGATGCTCCGAGAGGGTCCGGACCCAATTTCTTCATGGTGCTCAGGAAAGGTGCTGCATGAGAGAGTGGGTCATCGGGGGGCATCGCTGGCCCCTGAGGGCCCCTCGGAGGGCCTGACCCACTGCCCTGGCTGGTGATTGTTCTCGAAGGACCTCACTGAGGTTCCTGCCACGTTGAGAGCAGCACATTACCACCCCTTTTTTTTTAATTTATTTTTTAAAAGATTTTATTTATTTGAGAGAGAGAGAGAGCAAGCAAGCAAGCATGGGGGGGGGATGTGAGGGGCAGAGGGAGAGGGAGAAGCAGTCTCCCTGCTGAGCAGGGATCCCAGGACCCTGGGATCATGACCTGAGCCGAAGGCAGACACTCAACCGACTGAGCCACCCAGGCGCCCCTCCATCCCTGATCTTTAAAAGTTAAGGTGAAATTCATGTCACTTACAATGAACCAGTTTTTAAGTGCACAGTTCAGTGGCATTTAGTACCTTCACAGGACTGGGCAACCATCACCTCTATCCAGTTCCTGCATATGTTGATCACCCCGAAAGGGGGTCCCGTACCCAGTAAGCAACCAGCCCCCGTCCTCCCCACAGCCCACTTGTCTGCTTTCTGTCTCGATGGGTCGGCCTCTTCTGGACGTTTCGCATCCAGGGAATCATCCCCGCGGCACGGGCCCGTTCCCCATTGCCAAGGCTGAATAATATTCCCCTGTCTGGACGTACACGGTTGGTGTCTCCATCTGTCCACGGACATCTGGGCGGCGGGCACCTCCCGGCTATTACGAATGTTTGTGTGCGAGTATTTCTCAGCGCCTGTTTCCAGTTCTTGTGGGCGCACACCCACGGGGGGGGGGGTCACCGCGTCCTACGGTGATGCTACGTGTCTCTTTAGGCGGGACCCCATCACACTAGTTTCCGCAGCAACCAAACCACACCGTCCCCCTGTTACAGACGACAAGACAAAGCCTTGGAGATGGGACCGTTCATCCCTGCGGCTCCTCCTTTCCAGAAGGTTCTGCCCTTTCCCTCCCCCACTGACTTATTCTCCCTCATCCTTCAGGCCTTGGCATGAACGTCACCTCCTCAGAGAGGCCTTCCCTCACCTCCAGGTCAGGCCCCGAATGGCGCGTTCCCAGCACATCACGTTTCCCCTCCTCATCACTCGCCCAGCTGCAGCCAAGGAACCCTCTGGCTGGTGAGATACTCGGCATCGGCTCCTCCCCGCCTCCCTGCACCATCCCTCCATGGAGGCCGAGGCCAGGGCCCCTCATTCACAGGTTTGTGCCCAGGGCCAGGCATGGAATGGAAGTCTCTAGATGTTTGTGAAGTCACTGCCTGGGGTGAATGGCCAGGGGCGTGAGCTCTTCTCCCATTTGGGAGCTCGGGGGAGGCCTGGGTCTTCGTCCATCCTGCCTCCGCCCACCCACTCCGTGCTGTGTGGTCTTGGAAGGGGTGCTCTGTCTCTCTGTGCTGTTAGAGGAAGGCATGGTGCCAAGGCTCCGGTTTCACCCAGCTGATCACAGTGGCATCCAGACAGCCAATGGGGGGAGGAACCTCCGAGGAAACCGTCCCCACCCATAGAAAGGCCCCTGGAGACCCCTATCAATCACAGCACCTGGAAACCCTTCTTCAGGTGACAGAGGAGACCAGGCATCGTGGTGTGACGGCCAAGCTCACGAGTGTCACAGAGACCTGGGTTTGCATCTCAGTCTGGGAGCCTCCTGGCTGTGCAACCTTGGACAAGTCACTCACCTTTCCTCACCAGGATGATGAGATCACAGACACCTACCTCCTGGAGGGGGTCAGGCCCAGGTGACCAGCCTTCTCAAGTGTGCCTGGGACAGAGGGGTTTCCTGGGACACAAGACATTCAGGGCTCAAACAGGGACATCCCAGTGCACTGGGGCAAGCTGGTCCCCCGTCATGCCTGGCACAGCAGGAGGACCAGAGAAAGGTGGAGGATTGATTGCCACTATGCGATAATTCACTGCAGCTGTGCGCTGGGAGCTTTTCTGGAAACTGCAGTGGATATCTAAATTGTTGGCCTACAACGGCTCTTGCTCAGACATGGGGAAAAAATCCAACCAACATTTGAAAAAAAAAAATGATGCAGTAGGTATTCACTGTAGAAAGTTTACAAATTAGAAAACAAGAGTAAAATTTTAAATCACCTGTAATCCTGCCACCTACAGGTCGCCGCTGTTCCAGACCCTCATCCACCTACGGAGCATGCATAGATTTAATAACATCTGTAACACGCTCTGCACACGGTTCTGTAACCTGCTTGGGAAAATCTGGCCACACCCCGCCCCCCGACCCCCACAGCTGTGGCAGAGGAAGCCCCGTGGCATGTTTATTGAAAGGTCCCAGCACGGGCCGTTCAGATCGCTCCCAAATTAACACTGCGTTCCCTGGTTAGTTGTGCGGAACTTCTCGGCCTTCCTTGTTACCTGCACCCCGCCCCCCCAACCCCACAGGACTGCTGCCTGCTATCTGGTCTCTTGGTTTGGGATCTGAACCCCTGGCCTCTCGTGGGCCTTCCCCTCTCTATAGCTGATGTCTGCCCACCTTGGCAGGTGCCTGGCCAGCAAGGGAGTCCAGGAGCAGGGAGCCGTGGGCGGAGAGGCTGCCGGCCCGAGGGAGGCCCAGCCGCCGGGAGGGAGGGAACCTCGTTCTGTAGGCGCCCACCCCGCATTTCCATGGCAACTCGTGCCGGGGGAGCTAGCCGGCGGGGGAGGTGTGTGGCCGGCCAGCCCACTGACCCAGGTGGAGGCCAGGCCCAGGCGGGGAGCCGGCTGGAGCCTGCGGGAGGTCACAGTCCCAGCAGGAGGGAGGGACCAGGGCTGCCAGATCCCCAGGGCAGGGGGGGAGCTGAAGGGAGGCAGCTGACCCCTGACGCTCTTGGCCTCATGGAGCAGGAACGGCAGGAGGCCAGGCAGGAGGGGGGGCAGTTCCTGGGGTGGGGGTTCAACTCACAGCTTCCAGGATCACGGGTGGGGTCAAGTTCTCCCTGCGCTAATTAAGGACGAGTCCTTCACTTTTCAGGACCTTGACCCCCTCACCTGTAGCGGGCTTGTCACAGGACACAGTGAGCTCCTCAGTGCCCGAGAGGCATCCAGCACAGCCTATGTGTGCTGGTTGATGGCATGGCTGCTGTCATCCTCCCTCAGTCCCAGCCGGCCCGACCTGGTGGCTAGCTGCCATCAAGCAGGTGCATCGGTGAAAGGGTTTCCTCCTGTGAGCTCCCACCAGGGTCAGACTTTTACATGGCCCTGGTCCTGCGACCTCCGTCACCTGAAGGGAAGTCGGAGCGTCCAGGGCCTGGGCTTCCCTGGCGCTGGGGGGCAGTGGCCAGCCACAGTCTGCGTGTCAGGTGGGCTGCCGGGGTCTGAGGGGGCTAACGTGGACCAGAGCCAAACAGGACACTAGCCACTGGAAGACACAGTCGTCTGTCCAACCGGTGACCAAGTTTCCTAGCCAAAAAACCAGGGCTCATCAACTTGGCAAGTTGCTGCTGGTTTGAAATCTGCCTTCCCAGACAAGTGTGAGTCCTGGGGAGGTGTCCGCAGAGGAGTTGGGCGGGAGCAGCGTTGGCACGTCTAGGCTGCCCAGTGGGGGCCCTGGGCTCAGGGCCTGGCTCAGATTCGGTGGCTGAAGGCAAGAAGGGCTTGTGCCCCCATCTCCCCACAAGCCCCAGCTCTCCTCATGGGTGGTCAGGATCCACAGGCCAAGAACTGAGCCAGACCCACACCCTCCACACAGCAGCAGAGTGTTTTTTCTCCGGTCAAAGCATTTACAAAGACTCAGTACATGAACCAGATGACCGAGGCCGCCGGGTGGTGAAGTTGGCGGGGGGCGGGGGAGGGGGGCTTGGCTCTGCGACCCTCCCCTGCCCCCCTGACGGAGGCCTCGGAGGCTGCCTGTGTCGCATGATTTAAGAACCCTGCATCTGGGCCTTGGGGAACCTGCTGCTATTTCTGGCTGGTTCTGTCTCTTGAGGCCATAACGTGGCAGAGACTCTAACCCTTTGCCCCGTGCCCCTCGGAGACCGCTGGGCCATCCTAAGCCGTGTTCATTCATTCACTTGACCTCCAGTTCTTGGGTAGGTCAGGCGGGGCCGGGCCTGGGGCTGGAGAATCAGGCTGGCCGCGGCAGCAGGCGGGCAGTAAGCACTGGATACAGAGTTCCCGTACAGGTGCAGCGGGCCGGTGGCCTCCCCCGCACCACGCTGCCTCCGTCCCGCCCCGTGCCGAGGCTTCCCCGGGCCCCCCACCCCCCAGCCCCTCTCCTGCTGCCCCGACAGGGCCGCCCTCCCCTCCTCCAGCGCCGTGGCCAGCCCTCCCTGTGACTGTGATTCTGACACCGTCAGCGCATAATCTACGGCCCAGAAATAGAAGCAAATGGCGCCATCACTCAGGGCTCCGTGAATTCTGCTCGCCCGGCGTTGTCAGGTTCCCTGGCCTACATTCCTCCTGGACTTGGAGGGAGGCAAGGGGCTGCCCCTCGGGGAAGGCCCGCCTGGCAGGACACTCGGGGGCGAGGGGCAGGAGAGTAGCCGAAGCCCGCTGCCCCCTGACAGCTAACCTGAGCGGGGCCGAGCAGGGAACCTCCTGGCCTCCACTCCCTGCCATCAGCCAGGGCACGCACCTGGGCTCCAGAGTCAGAGGCCA